TTTAAAAACCCTTTGTATGGGCTTTGGAATGGGTCTTTTTACAGGGTTTAGAACCATATTAATAAACGTTTCGAAGGGTTTCTTATACGTTGCATTTTAATAAACCCTTAAATCGTTCTTTATTCTACGCTTTTTTTTTCAGTGTACCCAGCCATGCCTAAACCAGCATGCTAGCCACACGTACAGTCACAGGGACTCCACTGTTTTATTACGCACATGCTCACGCACCCACACCTACACCCGCCCTTTTTCATGCACATGTCTAAAATATTAATTTGGTACGATTTTTAGAGAATCTTAGAAATATTTAAAATTTAAATCAGATTATTAGATTCGAGTAAAAATAACATGCGAACTATATACTTACGTTAACCAACATTTCCAATCATTTTAAAAAATAAACAACCCTTTGAGCTAAAAAACACCTTTTTCAATTTACGTATTCGATTACTAACTATTGATAGACTTAAATACATTTTTACCAACGTTTGACATGAAAAATAAACCTTTGAGCTAGAGAGTTAATATTTTTGAGGTTATTAGTGTAAAATAATATTTTGAAGAAATATTTCATATTTTATATTTGATCTTGAAATATCAGTCAATTATAGCTCAGCGTATCCCAAGTCAACTAGTACGCTACTGGTACGCGCACGGCACAACACACCTCGTACGCGTACGCCATGCGCATGAGAAAGTGCATTTATGCATTTTCGTAATTTTCTCATTGGCTCATTTTGAAATTCCATTAGTCACTCTGATCCCATCAAACGTACTGCTTAGAATTATTATATTAATTTTTATTTTATTTTATTAAAATTTAAAACTAAATTTACAAATACATTACATCTAGCTAAAAGCGCTCGCTAACAAATAAAACTAAAAAAAACTAATACAAAACAATAATAAGAAAATAAAAATAATAACAGTAATAAAATATTAAATTCTAAATCAATACAATAATTCTAAAAAAATCTTTGACAAATATCACAAGCAGCAAAAAAACAGTACAAAAACGGAATATCATAACAAATATAAGAAATAAAATAAATATACAATATTTATTTTTGATACTCTAGGAAACTTGCTTAATAGTTGAGTCCACTGCAACATTTTTAATCTCATTAACATGTATTTGTTTGGCAAGTACTGATCGATTTCTTGCTAGTTGTCGCCAAGAAAAATACAGAAAACTCAGTCGATTATCACTTGCAATACAAGCAGTTATTCTTGCCAACATCTTTTGGTTTGGTCATTCGATTCCTTATCTAGTATATACTGAATTAATACGAAATACAAGTACAGGTTCATTATCTGGTATGCTCGGTGGAAATCTAGCATACGCTAAGCATTTAATATACTTTGCGCTTCCTGTCTATGATGGTTTGTTGCCCAGTGTGTACAGAAATATAAATAAACTACAACTCATTCGTCAACGACAAGTAGTTCAAAATACAGTATTTACTGTAGCAATAGATAAATCTATCCTATATAGCATTTGTATGTCCACTTTTTGCATCATCGTCAGTGTGCCGATATTGATGGCACGCTTCGATGATTCTCCTTCCTTCTCTTTCTGCTCTCTTTCCATCCCAGACCGAGCTTTACGACGTCCGTATACGGTGAAATACGGGCCGTATACGACGGTAAATCGCCGTATTTGGCCGTATTACATGGCTCCGTATTACGATCGTAAATCTAATGTATCTCTCTCCTGTCTCTCTTCTATCTCTCTCCTATATATACGTGCGTTATGTATGAAGTTGTGACACTCTGGAGATGTCAGATGACACAATACACCATCATGCCGACGGGCATAGGCGACACTCTCTAGTTTTGTCGTTACACTCTGGATATGTGAATAAACGAATAAACATCATTGCCGTGAGTGGCTGTAAGCTACTCCACCTCTATCCAGTTTGTCAATACGATATAAACTCAACAGTCTTATTTATCGTTACAGTCAGTATTTCGAAAACAAGCAAAACTAATATTTTTCTGTCGAAAATCAACATTACTTAGGGCGAATCAAATCTAACCATATCTAAAAAATGATGTGGGACATGTAAAACTTGCAATAGTGAATACTACTCCAAATCGAAATATTCAGTGATTTATGAACTTGAAAGTCAGCTTCTAGGGGATACAGAGCTAAAAACTATCTTTCGTTTTGTAAAGCTTTGTTTAAGACGAACGTGAACATATATTCAAACTAGTGAAATTTCCAATAGGGGTGTCAATTTACAGTTTATTTTATTTTATTTAAATTTAATTCTATCAAGTTAAATTTAAATGTGACACCCCTAATTTCCAACATTATTTTATTAAAATAAATGCATTCGGTTGTTCTTATTACGATTTATCTCAATGATATATCTCGCAGTAACTCGTGTAATTTTGTTTTGACTCAAATGTGCCTGAATCCTGTTTCGTCTACGTGTAAATCATAGCTATCGAACGCATGTAGATGCAGCTCAAGTGAAATTTAACTGGCTTCTAGATACGATTTACTTACAAAAGCACGTCTGAATGCGCTTAAATAGTTTCTAAGGTCGGTAAACAGACGTTAATGTCATAGAAAACCGTATGTAGACGCATTTTTCAAAAGATTTTCGATGCGTCTATACGCAGGTTTTTACTGAAGTTACGGTAAAACACATAAACTCTCCGTATCGCGGTTACATTGGAAGTATTTAATTTAAAATAAATATTTATTCTTTTATTCAGATTTATCTCGCTGAAATATTAAACACTAAGTATTTTATGTAAATAGATAAATTTTGCTTCTGATGATTAAGAAAAGTGAGGAGACGATTAGTAACCTTGAAAACAAGATTCTATACAACCAGTACGCAACCTTGATACTATTTATGATTTTCATTTCTGTTTCTGATTCGGTTGAGGCAGTTCAAGAAGCTGTTTAAGATAGTCAGAATCATCAAATAGAGGAAATAACGCTAGTACATCTTCAATATACATCAATCTCTTATAATAGAGTGCTTTCCATCATCTACTTGAGATATGTAAATTTTTCTCGGTGTTTTAGTCATTGTTCCTCATTATTCGAAACCGAACCTGATACAATTAAGGATAATGCGATTTCGAAAACTATAGTCATAATGATGCAGCAGGTGAGCCATGCTTCGTACTGCTACTGTTGATAATTTTTTTAACATAGTGCCTATGCCGATAACTAGATGATGTGCTTTTTCTATTCGTTCAATGTTGTGAACTATATGCTCTTTCTGTTTAACCTGTCCTTCATTGTCCACATTTGTTCTCTCGTATATAGTTTCGTTTTCTGTGTGAACTTAGCACAAGTTTTATCATGAAGTAGCGTAGTGAACTTCTACACCGAAGATGATGGTGACGCTACTTCTTCTGTTTGTCATCTGTAGCAGAATTACATTGAATTGCCAAAAAGTAGTTTAATGGAATTAAGTAACATGTTTTGAAATGTCGAAATGTATTTAAAATTTGGTCAACAGGTGGACTAGTGTAAGTCGAATCATTGAAACCTCTGGTTTGTCACGAAAGTAATTAGTAAAAGAGGGATGTTTATAATTAATACATTGCTTCGATAGTTTTTCTTTCAAACTGGCTTGCGCAAAATCATTCATGCATAGCAATTTGAGAAAATGAGTCAAATAAATGTATGATTGCATTAAAAATAAACTTACATTGAATTTTAGTATTTTCATTATATTCATCTTTCCAACGTTTCTTCAAATAAACATCTGTCTTCAATGCCTTCGTAATGATGCAGTACTTTTATCATAATAAAACATATCGATATAAAAGTTCTGTTTCTCATTTGCGTAGAAATTTGGGTAGACATGAAAAAGAATGACACTAGGTTAATTACAGGAATGAAATGAAAAAAGACCAATAGAGCACAGAAAACGACAAAACATATATTTTCTATTGGTTCTGCTTACAATTTTTTCAATCAAACGGTCGTTATATATATATATAAATACGTTCCTCAGTGCACATATAAACTACCTACACATACGCCTTTCAATTCATTTATCATTTTCAAATCTTAGCTTCATATCTGATATTATTCATTAATCATTGAAATATTACTCGTTATTTGTATCAACTGAAAAGTCACATTTATCAATATCGTTTATTTTAGATACTCATACACAGAGTAAAATGGCATTGACAATATTTTTATTTAACGTTTCTAAACTTGATGATCCGACTTCTAAAATGGATATTATTGATGAAAATGATGATCAATCAACATTTGATAAACCAGCAGTAAAATTTATTCCTGAAGAAAATATTCCATTACTTTGTGCTAAAGTAACATTTCGAGGTATCTATTAATTATACTCTAATTAGATATAGGAAATGAGAAAATAATGAATCAATATAAAAAAGAAAGAATGGACTTTTTGTCTATCCGTTTGGAATTCAATCTGATATTTGATTGCTGTAAACCGGGGTACAATATTGGACGCTAACATATATAATGATAATGTTTTTTTTCTATAGGGTTGTTTACGTGTAAGAAGCTAAGTCGAAACTTTTTGTCCGCATTCTATACTTAAAAATAAATTATATGCGTGTTTCATCAATATCCTGAAATGAAATTCATAAATAAAATAAAATTTTAATGATTTAGTTACAATTCAAATTTTTCCATTCAGGTATACATCTTTGGTCGACCAATGTACGAATTCGAAATCACACAGCAAGTTTTATTGCACGTGGAAACAAACCAAAGAAGTTTACTTTCAATGTAGCAACAATGCTAGTGCCTGATGATAGATTAAAAATCGAATTTTTTACATTAAATTCGAGAAAAAAACGAAAAAGACTAATTGCAATTTTTGAAATAATGCTCGAATGTTTAATCGATACAAAATATATTGATTTACGAGAAGAAAATTTATGTGATACAAATAATCATTTAATAGAAGCAACTGTACAACTTAGACTTTACTACACACCACCAGATATTGATCAACAAATGGCTGGTTTAGGCTACGGAGATAATAATATGCTAGTCGATTGGAAAAGTATGTTCGATGATGAAGGACGACATGGTGGCCATCGCTATAGACATTTACGTTCAAAACATGATAGTCAATTGTAACTAATTAAATCAATGTTAGTTAATTAATCGTTTTTCATTGTTTATTTTCTAGTAAAAAGATTCGTTCGAAACTTATCGGTCGTACAGATGATGCTGATACAGATTCATGCAGTGATTCGGAATTTGACGAACAGCAAAACGTTGATAGTAATGACAAAGCTTTAAAAGAAAACATTCAGAAACAGATGGAACGCAATAATGTAGAATTAATAGAAAAAAGGTAAATGTTTTTGTTTTAATAAAATATTTTTCATTTTCTAAATTGAATCTAGTTTGGGTCGATATATGGGTGATCCATATGAAATGACTGAATGGCAAGTGATGGTTCATATTGTACAGGCACGAGATCTTCCAGGTCTTAATATTAATCCATATGTTGTCGTTCAAATTGATAATCAAAAATATCAAACAAGTACACAGAAATCTTCTAATTCACCTTATTTCGGTGAAGTAAGATAATGTTTAAAAAGAAAAAGATCAAATTTTATCAAATAAATTTTCTTTTTAGTTCTTTACATTTGATTTCACATTACCAGCTACCAAATTTATGGAAAAAGTTATTTTTATTAAAGTATGCTTTTTGCCATTTCAATGATAACAAATGTTTTAATAATAGTATTATTATCATCTGTTAAGGTTCATGATGAAATTAGAATAATCAGTAAATTTACAGATACAGCACCCATAGGAGTTTTTCGATTAGATGTAGCAACAGTTTACAATGAAAAAGAACATGCATTTGAGCGCAAATGGGCTCAATTAGTAAATCCAGCAAATGTTGGAGCACATTGTGGCCATTTACTTGTTTCATTATCTGTTACACAATGTGGTGTACCAACGAAAGTAAAGAGATTTTTATTCGATCAAACAATCTTATTTTGATGTTTGCTTTTTTTCTCCTCCGAAGAATGTTGTTAGTGAAACAGGACAAGAAGATGATGAATTTAACCCATTGTAAATATGAATTTTTAGTTATTTTTAGTTTTAATTAATAAATTTTATTTAGAAAAACTTTAATACCTGCAGCTATGCCTCGAATACTTTTTCCTATGCAATTAAAAATAATTTTCTATAGTGCAAGTGAGCTACCTGAAATGATGACTGATTTTTTAGCAACTGTTTCAAAGAAAATTATGCAATCGGACAATTGGGAACCGATTGATTCTTATGTTGAAGTTTCATATAATACAATGACAGCAAAAACAGAAGATCGTAATGGTACAACACCAGTTTGGGGCGAAGCACTTTATCTTGTTGGACGTTTTCCACCACTCATAAGAACAATGAAAGTAACTCTTAAAGATCGTGCAGCTATGCAATCAGATCGTGTGATTTCATCATTTTTTATCGATATTTTACTCATCAGTGAAAGTAATCCAGCCATCGGTTTTTTACCGACATTAGGTCCAACATGGATTTTTTTATATGGAAGTGCACGAGAATATCCAATCAGTAAAGAACAGGTTAATCTCAGTGAAGGAATGGGTGAATCTATTTGTTATAAAGGACGAATACTTATGGCTATTGAATCTCATCCTGTCAATGAAGAAAATGCAGCAAACATGAACGTACAAAAGGAAACTGGTATAGCATTTCCTGAAGCAGTAAATATTATTTAACTTTTTTATAATTTTGATACTATTTCAACGAATTGATTTTGTTTTTCACAGCATATATTTCCAATGAAACGTACATTTCTTTTATTTGGCTGTATTTATGATGTTAGTATGATTGATGAATCATTTGGTAATTCAACAATCTGCTTTGAATTAAGTATTGGTCCAAGTGGATATTTAAGTCCAAATGAATTAGCTACGGCATATCATAAACCTGTGTCATCATTGACACGACTGTATCCACGTATACCTATTGATAATAATAAAAATCATTTTCGTTTACCGATTGATTTACAAAAACCAATATTATTTACAAAATATATATTTCATGATTATATCTATCGTATGGCACTATCAAATCGTCTAAAACATATATCAGAATATCTGGTATTTACTTTCTCATGAGTTAATTGCAAAGGAAAACAAAATCGTTTTTTTTCGTCTTAATTTTAGTATGAAAAAATCAGTGCTTTGAAGATGAAAATCAATTCGAAAGTACCAAATGAAATTCTCATGGAAGAATATCGGAAAATTGAAAACTATGTTCATACATTACCGTGTGGATGTGGCGAACAAAAAGAGGATGCTGATGCATTGCTTTATACGCCTGCTGTTCATCCAAATTTATCGGAATTACTAAATTGTGGTTCGACAGCGAATACTAAAATGAACGATATGGATCATAAACGGCATAAAAAAATTCTGTATTATCTTGATGTCATAAAAAGTTGGATTTCTAGAGCAGCCGATTTTGATGATTCAAAACGATATGAAACTATTAAAGAATTGTATAAAATAGCTGATGTATTTCGTAAAATGGCTATTGATGTAAATAGAATTTATTTAAAAAAAAAAAGAAAAACAAATTTCAAGTTACTTTTCTATTTTGAATAGGCACAACCAGCTTTGCCCGATATATTTTTATGGATGATTTGTGATTCACAACGAGTAGCTTATGCACGTTTTCAACCTGAAGATCTATTTTTTAATATATGCCAAGGCGACAAAGGTTTACATAGTGGTCGTGTACAAACTATTTTTCTCAAAGTCTGCTATCATTCTTGGCTTTTCTTTGGAAGAAAAAAAATTCGCTCCTAAATTTTCTTTTCAGACACCACGTTCAACATATCAACGATTTAATTCATCAACAAATGCGAAAGTACAATTGTATCTTTGGCTTGGAATTGAAGAATACGAACCGTGTATATTTAAAAACTTACCTACCGGTTTCGATATGCCAACATTACCATTGCAACCGGAATTGAAAACTATAAGATATAATGGTTAAAAATCAATTTAAAAACATAATTCGAGATCTGTACTTTGCTAGGAGGAACATTTTTTGAATTGCGATGTCACTGTTATAAAGCAAGAGCATTGATTGCTGCTGATGCAAGTGGATTGTCTGATCCGTTCCTAAGTGTCACCATTGGGAATGAGACACAAAGGACACCAGTGAGAGATACAATTATGTGTGAGATTGTTTTTTTGTTAGGTTCACTTTCCTTTAACATAGGTTATAAAGCAATCGTTAAATCCACAGTGGAATATAACATTAGCCTTCAGAAACTTGATACATGTGGGCACTCGAGAAACAGCAGAGGAAATTGTTGGCAATGTTGTTGTCGAATGTTATGATTATGATGAAGTGAGTAGATACTTTCAGAAAGTAGAAAAACAATCTTGTTTCTCATTGATTTTTTCAGTTGTTTACTTCTTTGAATCATAAGTTTGTTAAATAGATTCAAATTTATTATTTTGAATACAGGTTAAAATGTCCTTGCAAAAATGTTCTTCGTGAAAGATGTCCTTGAGAAATGGTCATTTGTATGAAAATGTCGTTTGCCGTTAGAGATGTACTAATTTCTATTCCAACCAATTTCGACCAAATCTAAAAATTGACATCAGTGTATCTTATCCCTATTCATCGTGAAGGGTGAATGTGGGGTGTGGTTGGGGGTCTGGTATTGCTATATTCTTGTTCACAGTTACACCGTACACCCAAAGGAGCAATCATATACTAAGATCTGTCAAGATTCTGAATCTGATCTTGTTAGATCAAGCAAAATAGTCGTCGTCTCAAAAATCTTGTAGTCATATCTTACAATACAGCAAAATCTTTCAAGAATCTGATGGTACGAACTGATGAAAGCGTCCACAAGCAACGATTGTTTTGTATAATCTTATCTGGTGTTTTCAAGATGTAACGTCAGATTTTTAGACTTGGGCAGCCATACTCTCCCACACACACCCAACGATCAAAATCCAGAATTGTTGAACAACGAATCAAAGAATTATATGATCGGCTCAACAATACCCAGATTACACTGCGAGATCTATTACATGGACTTTCTTTTTTGTCGGGAATGAAAAATAAGATGAAATTTAATCAGTTATCATAAACTAAACTGCATTTCTAACATTATCGACTACCATTACTTTTATTTTACTGAAAGGACATTTTTGCAAGGATGTTCTAGACTGTTACCATTATTTCCAAATAGATAGATAATTCTTTGACAGCAGAAATTTCGCAGTATCGATATTTCATTGTGCTTAAGACAATTTCGTAAAATTTCTCAAAATCAGCAACAATACTGATACAAAAGCCAGACAAGCGTGTTGATTTACAGATGTTGTCTGGTAGTGGAGCATCGAGACACTCGAGAATTGTTGAAAAGTCTTTTAACTCTAAGCCCTCAACTAAGGTAAACAAATAAACGTCGAGTTTCAGAATAATCTATGAGTTTGGATGATGATCCGAATTTGCCTGCCTATAACTTGCATTTAGGATTAGGGTACCAGTTGTAAGTAAATTCACACAGCGAATTATTGTTTTCAACTTTGACTATTTTCTTACTGAAATATACTATAAAATCTTAAATGTACAAGGATGAAAAGAGTGCGTGTACAACGAAATTCCCAAACACTTACGAATGACTAGTCTACAAATATTTGTTAATAATTTTAGGGTGGTGATGGTTCCGATTTAATTGGACGTTTTTCCACAATCGCTCAACTTAATATCTGTAATCAACAAAATCTGCCCAATGAACATTTCTTGAGATGGTATGAATTCAAAATAGGTGATAAACAAGCTGGAGAACTGTTAGCATTATTTGAACTTGTTGAAATAAATTCAGTAAAAATTATCTTAAAAAATATTTATTTGATAGATTTTAGATTCTTTGTTTTTCTAATTCATTTTAACAATAGGAAACAAGACAAGCGGAAACAGCATGTGAACTTGAAGAAATTTTCATAACAACAGTAAATTATCCTGCATCAGATTACATTACTAAAGTGGTAACAAATAAAGTTTATAGAATTCCAGAGAGTCTCATGCCAAAATCAAAAGATTATGAAATTGAGGTTATTGAAAATATTCAAATTTTTAATTTAAGAAAAATTATATTTGAATAGGTCATGTTTTGGGGTTTACGTGAATTTCGTACACTTAATGCTCTAGATTATCTACGCATTGTTCAACAAAATGAAGTAACAATTGAATGTGCTGGTAAACGTGTAGCAAAGATAATAAAAAATGCACAAAAAAATCCAAATTTTGAATCATCACCTCTAGAAACAGAAAAATATAGACTTTGCATTGTATGAAAAACTGAAGCTTACATATTCTTTATTTTTCAAGCAATGTTTTGTTTTTGTTGTTGTAGTCTTTACCAGATGATGAAACGTTTTGGCCATATTTAAGTATTCTTTGCGCAGAAAACAGTCTTTTTGGAAAGAAAGAAATAATTGGAAATCTAGTTGTAACTAATTTACAGAAATATTTTCAAAAACCTGCTGATCATTTATCGAAAACTGACCAAGATCTAGCTGAAGTTGTGAATGAATTATCAAAAAGAATACCGTACGATTTTAATCGTGTTCGGAGATCAGTTATTGATGCATACGAAGGTATATTATGATTTGATGTTTTCTTTTTTGAACGTAGATCTCTAACTGATGGATTACATATTGTAGCTGTTGTAGCGGATCAGAGCGCTGATTTACGGAACAAAAAGTTACTTGAGTTTGAAAACAAAGTAGGTCAAGATACTAAAACGCCAATTATCATGACTGACATATTCGAAAAAGAAGTATGTATGAAAATAATGTTTTTTCTTTTGTTATTGAGAATCATTTTCTTTATGAAAAAATCAGGGCGATGATAAATTTGATGAACAATCAAATGGAGAAAGGACTGATTTAAAAGAAGATAATTTAGAACAAAAATCAGCTGATGGCGGAGCATATGGAAATGAACCTTTAACAGCCGAACAAAGAATACGAAGAAATAATATGGAGAAAGCGGCTGGATGGTGGCATAAGTATTATGCATCGAAAGCAAGATTGGTAGGAAAATGTTCATCCAAGTTTTCGTCGATTTTTCGATTTTCTTTTTACACACAATAGAAATTAAAGCAACGAGCTACCTTAGATATGGATGAAGTTTTGGCAAATAGTTTTGATGTAGATGCAAGTGATTTTGACGACCACACAGGTTTGTTAGCAAATTTTTGTGTTTGACTTTTATCGAATGCGAATATTTCTGGTAGACTTGGTTGCCAAAAAACGTCTTAATTTGTGGGGTAAAGTCAAAAAAATAGTGCTAACTTCTGGAAAAGCTCAAGAAACATTGCGGCATATGACCACTCAACACATGGAACGTCTAAAAGGTTTTCAGAAAGTAACTTTGATATTATTTTGTCCATAAATAAAAACAAATATAACCATGATTTAATATTTTAGCCTACATCAGATTTTGAAAATAGTTTTGAGCACATTGAAAATGATCGTCTCAAAGAATTGACATTATTACAAACATTTGATGTCAGGAAAACGAAGCATAAACTTTTTATTTCACCATCTTCTTGTTTTTCTTATCATATTAGGTAGTTGAAACAGAATTAGAAAATGTTTATGATTATGAAGGTTTTACGGATTGTATTGAAACATTTCCTTTGTAAGACGTATCTTTACACAAAACAAAAGTCATTTTAAACATTTATTTGTTTATTTAGATATAAAGGTAAAGGTTCAAATCGATCAGATGAATTTGGTGATGAAAAACGTATCGAAACGAAGTTTAAGGTTATTAATATGTTTTTGTAATTTTCATTTCTCAGCCGAATGATTTACGGTAATAGCATTCTTCTCTTTGTCAGTTACTACCTTCGATAGTAGAAATTATCGTATGTCGAATATTTTTCTAATATTTGGAAAATATCGAACTTCAGATGTTAGTTTAATCCTTTACGGCCAGCTACCAGAAGATAGGAAGAAAAAAATTCTTCTTCTATATATTCTTTGTCTCTTAGGTGTGGAAGTTACAGAATTCCATCTTGGAGTTTAAAGAACTGATATTAAGCCGAATGTCAACATGTTGCCTTTTGGCAACATCCGGCCGTAAGGGTACAAAAAGTTGGAAAAAGTCAATTATTTTTCCTCGATATAAGATCAATAATTTGCTGTTAGTTTCAGTCC